AAGGGTTTCTAAGGTCAGGTATTTTCCTCAGACTAATCCCTGAAATGTTTTCTATCTCTTCTAAATTAAATCTTTCCTTAATCTTACCATCTTCAATTGAACAAAAATCAGAGAAGTTGTATCATATGAAGAGTGTGGCATCAGGATTGGCGGAAGGGTTATTAACAACCTGAGACGTGCAGATGACACACCCTTGCTTGCTGAAAGTGAGGAGGACTTGAAACCGTGCTGATTGAGGTCAAGGATTGTAGCCTTCAGTATGGATTACAACTCAAATTACTCAATGTAAAGGGATCCAAAATCCTCACAACTTGACCAATAGGTAACACGATGATAAATGGAGAAAGATTTGAAGTTGTCAAAGATTTTGTCTTGCTTGGATCCACAAACAAGGCTCATGATAGCAGGAGTCAAGAGATCAAATGACCTACTGTTAGGTTTCTTGGGTGGGAAATACCTCAGTTCTTGGCTTTGCCGGAGAAAGAACTCATGCCATAGCTTGGTTTGTGATGCAAGTGGGTTTTTATAAAGGACTGAAGGAGTTTCAGGCTTTACAGTAACTGAACACAGGCAACCTCATGGGACTGCACACTCACACGTAGCAGCCTGAGGCCAGAGAGACGATGGCAAGGCAAAGCAGAAAGGGGAGAAGCAGCCAAAGGGAAAGAGGCCGGTGGCCTCCAGGTTCAGCCCTTTAGGGCCCTCAGCTGGGATACACGGTCCATGGTACTGGTTGACCCCATTGGCTGAATTAAGCCCACCTGGCCTATTTTGGGCCCACCCAGGTATACTGCCTCCCTGGTTCAAGGGCCTGAATTTAGAGCATGCTCAGTAGACACCCCTGGTCCCTACTCTAGCTACTGAAGAGTAGAGCATGGAGTAATCTGCTATACAAAACTCTTGAGAGTATTAAAAAGCAGGGAGATTACTTTGAGGACTGAGGTCTGCCTGCCCCCAGCCATGGTATTTTCCATTGCTCATATGCATGTGAAAGTTGACTATAGACTAAGGAAGACTGAAGAAAAATCAATGCATTCCAACTGTGGTGCTGTGGAAGAATATTAAAAGTACCAAGGATTGCCAAAAAGCAAACAACTCTGTCTTCAAAAAGTACAGCCAGAATGCTTGTTAGAGACAAGCATGGTGATACTTTGCCTCACATACTTTGTACATGTTATCAGGTGGGACCAGTCCCTGGAGAAGGACTGTCATGCATCACGCTTGGTAAAGTCGATGGGCAGTGAAAAAGGAAAGCCCTCGATGAGATGCATTGGCACAATGGCTGCAATTATGGGCTCAAAGATTAAAAAAAAAAAAAGTGAGGATGGTACAGGACCAGGCATGGTTTCAGTCTGTTTGAATGGGGCAACTATGAGTCAGGAAGCAATTGGATGGCGCCTACCAACAACAGACCATCCTCATTCTTGCGTTACACCTCCCAAAGAAGCCTCTGTTCATCGTGGCCTTAAAGCTGAAAGAACCAAAAGTGGGGGTGGGGGGATTGGAGGGGTGCCTTTTCACCTTTGGTTTTCACTTCTTCAATAGCTCATCTTTGTGTTTTGCCTGTGTGGCTTTGTGTGTTGGTCCCTGGGGAGGTCACTCATCATCTGACTCTCAGGCAGTGTTGGGTGCTCAAGAAATGATAAATAATAATAATGCTCAAAAGAGCAAGTGGACCAACACAGCAAGACACCAACACTGTATAAATAATGAATGAGAGTTAAAATGCTTAAGTAAATTTTTAGTGTTGGTTTTGGGGTTTTGCTTTTTTTTTTTTAACTGTCTTGTTAGTTTTTTCACTGAGATTTTTAGGATCAGAATTACCACTTCAAAGAATTTAAAATAATTGTTTGCTCCTTATTTCTTTGACACTGTAAGTGAAAATGACAGTATGAAGACAAAACTGTCTTGGTTTGTGATTGAAAAATCTAGCTCTGCAAATCTTTCCTAAATCCGGTAATTTTAGGAGTTTATGGCTCAGAGTATAAGATTTCAAGATTGCTTTTTCATGTGTCAGTATTATTTTTGGCACACACAGCATTTATTTGTTTGGCACATTAGAGAGATTTGACATCAAGATTGAAAGCAACCAAAGGCTTATCATGCCTACTGCTTTAAAGTAAATGCTGAAGTTCTCTATTTTTAAAAATCTCATATTCCATTTTAAGAAAAGATTATGGAAAACGTCAAACATACTTTAAAAATACACTGTATGGTATAATGAGCCTTCAGCGTCAACATTTATCAACATTTTGCCAGTCTTTCTTTCCCACTTTTTTCCTCTCTCACTTCTGTTCATGAAGCTTTTTAAAGCAAATTCAAGACGTTATTTTACACACACACACATCTATTTCACAATACATGTCCAACTGATGAAGGCTATTTTCACATAACCACAAAGTCATTCTAAAACCAAAACTATTTCCGCTGAGTTGATTTTGACTTATGGAAACCTTATAGGATAGAGTGGAGCTACCCTATAGGGTTCCCAAGGCTGTAGGCATTCTGGGAGCAGACTGCTGCAGCTTTCTCCTACACAGCAGCTTGTTTGATGAGCAATTGAGCCCTGTGCCACGGGGCTCCTCATAAAAATTTAAATTTAGTCTCCAATTCCTAGTTCATATTAAATATTCCTTGCTTGCTTCAAAAGTGCCTTTTTACAGATCCAAAGTCCACAAATTGCATGTATTTGTATTGTCACCCATGTCTTTATAAGTCTTTCCTGTTCTCTCTTCTCCTCTTTTAATAATTTTATTTTTAAATAACCTGTTTGCATTTTAATACTTACATAGATTTTTGTGCAAGCACTGCCATAATACAAGTAGTAGACGGCTCTGTCTCCTCCCAAACTCCCTCAAGTCATCCCAGAGTCACACCCTCTCCCTGCCTCCGCGACCTCTGGCATCCACTCGCCTGATCTCTGTCATGTTGATTTTGTTGTTTTGAGATTGTCACATCAATTGAATCATAGAATGTGTAACCTTTTAAGATGACGTGTGTGTGTGTGTGTGTGTGTGTGGTTATTTTCATTTTATTTCCTCAACCGTTTTATTAGCATGTAATTTATATATCATACAATTCAATAGTTCAGTCGTGTCAAGAAGAGTTGTACAATCATCACCACAATCAGTTTTAGAACATTTTCTTCATTCTTATACTCATCGTTATTAGCTCCCCATCCTCCCCCCAACTTCCTCTGCCATACCCCCAAGAAACCATTTAGTTACTGTTTCTGTAGATTTACTTATCCTAAATTTCGTATACATAAAAACATTAAAACACAAGCAAAAGCAACAAGAATAACAAGGTAAAACAGATGAAAATATCAACTGAAAAGAGAGAATATATAAAAACTAGAACAAATTTAAATAGATCAAATGAGAGGGTGCTAATCTTTTAACCTAACTGCATCTACAATAATCCACTTCCCAATGCATTCTGCATGTTACCAAGGCTATTCACATCCCTGGTCCATGGTCAGAGGGGATTCACCAGGGGCTTAATCCATGTGTATTTCCCTTTCACTTTTTAAAAATTGTTAATCTGAAACAGCTTTAAAATGGGCAAAGGGGAATCAAATGATAAGATATTACATTTTGGTCTAACTACATCTGCCATAATTGACTATACAATGCTCTTTGTCTGATAATGGGGCTATTCAGATCCCTCAACAATGACAAGAGGATTCACCAGGGGCTTACACCATATGTGGACCCTGCAAATGGATTGGGGGCTTTCACTGTCATTCATAGCCTTCTGCAAACCAGGTGTTCACAATTTAAGATCTGGTGCCATTCCCTCCTTTAGATTTGGATTATATTATTTATATCCTTGGATCACACAGACTGGTGCGCTTCTTCCATATAGACTTCATTGACACCTGCCTTTTTTAGATGGCTACTTGCTTGAAAACAAGCTTTTAAGACCCCAGACACTATTCTTTCTGATAGGCAGGCACTATCTAGTTTCTTCACCACATTTTGCTATAGCACCCATAACATCAGTGATCTCTTCATGAGGTTGAGCATCAAGTAGGGCCTTGTCATATGAACTAATTGTTTATAGATTGGGGCTAGGATGAAGTCAAGCCCCAAATCCATTTATGCATCTATGGATTATTTAAGTCTCTTGTTTCCCTTAGAGACATGATTGTCATTTTATGTTTGAGAACATTTTCAGTCATCCCCTGGAGTATTACTTCCACTGTCATCAAATCAATGCTGACTCATGGCAACCCTATAGGACAGAGTAGAGCGTGTTTCTCCAAGCCTGCAAATCTTCACAGGAATAGAAAGCCTCATCCTTCCCCTGCAGAGCTGGCTAGTGGTTTCCAACTGCTAACCTTATGGTTAGCAGCCCAATGCATAACCACCATGCATTGATAGTGTCATTATTTAGCCAATGGTATAGAATTAAAACACTTGAGAAAAAGAAATGAGTATAGACCAGCTATGAACTGGTTGACTTGTAGAGATTTAACCCTGAACTGACTGGACACTACACAAGCAGTGGAGGCTGATGATGGGTCAAATCTTCCAATAATATTCATTCGAAGCAACAGAGTCATGTCTACTAAATTAATACATGTCATAATGAAGCAAGAAGGATTCATTGGGCACCCTCAAGAGAAAAGACACAAACTAAAGTCTACCATTTCTATGCTAGTAATTATCAGTTTCTTCTCACACAACGGAGGTTTAGCCTTAAGTCCATTGGCTACTGGTGAGTTTGAGGTAAAGCCCACTTCATTTAGTGGTGTTTCTACATCTACTCCTTCTGATGTGGCCTATGAAGGATGCTGTGTACCTTAAAAGAAGAGAGTCTAAAGTACCAGTAGTCTATAGTGCACGGACTGGGTGCATTATACTGAGTAAAATTAGTCAATCACAAAATGACAACTATTCCATGAGTCCACTTCTTCCTCTTAGTGTTAAAATGCATCCACATGGAGCAAATAATAGCTCATTCGTTATTAAACACTACATAGTATTCCTTTGTGTAGAGGTATCATTATTTTTATTCATTCACTTGCTTTAAGGACAGCTTATCTTGGTTGCTAATGATAAATACCCAACAGAAGATTGTTGGGAAGCACTAGTGGCATAGTTGTTTACACACTGAGCTATTAACTTCAAGGTCAATGGTTCAAACCCATCAGCTTCTCTACAGGAGACAGATGAGGCTGTCTGCTCCTGAAAAGATTTAAAGTCTCAGAAACCCAAAGCAGCAGTTCGGCTTTCTCCTGTTGCGTCACTATTGGCTGGAATCAACATGGCAGGGTTGTTGTTTGCATTGCTGTTTGGATTATGTATTAGGATTCTCCAGAGCAGCAGAACCAAGAGAGTAGACAGATACATGTAAATAGGTAAATATTATTAAAACTTGACTCATACTTGTAGGGGCTAGCGGGTTTGAAATCTGTTGCTCAAACCAACAAGATAAAAATGCAGGCAAGATATCTGTTACGATCTTCAGACAGAATTCTTTCACCTTTACTATTAGGTTCTTCAACTTACTGGATGAGGCCCAGCCACACCACGGAGACTGATCTACTTAAAGTCAGTTTACTGTAAATGTAATAACATGTAAATATTTTCATAGCAACGTTTAGACCACCAAACAACTGAGCACCAGAGCCCAGCCAAGTTGAACACAGAAAATCAACCATCACTCATGGTAAGTGAATGTTCTACTTTTATAAGAAGCCACCTAATTATTTTTCCAGTGTGTCTATAATATTTTGCCTCCCAGCCAGAGATGTAAGAGTTCTGGTAGCCCCCTACCCTCTCCAGTTCTTATCTATTTTACTTTAGTTAATAATACATACCAGTATCACATTGTGGTTTCAGTTTGTATGTCCCTAGGGTCTAATGTGGGAGAGAGACCAGACTTTCTACTCCTATAAAGAGTACAGTCTCAGATACTCACAGGGGCTGTTCTACCCTAACCTATAGGGGAGTTGGAATCAATTTGACAGCTGTGAGAGATCCTAATGAGTCCTGCTGGCATAGTGGATTACATGTTGGGCTGTTAACTATTAGGTTAGCGGTTCGAACCCATTGCTACTCCACTGGCGAGAGATAAGGCTTTCAGCTTTTGTAAACCTCTGTGGACTCAGAAACCCAAAGAGGCAGTTCTACTCTGCTGTAAAGGGTCTTTCTGAGTCAGAATTGACTCAGCAGCAAAGAGTCAAGGCTGATGAAAAGGCCCAGGTGACCCCGTGATTAAGCAGCTGATTTAGTTGTGATTCAAAGACATAGCCGTCTGGAAAGATCCAAGCCTTGAAGACCCCGGGGTTTTCCATGACAGTTCAACTCTGTGCTATAGGGTCACTGGAAGTTAGAATCAACTCAACAGCACAAAATGTCCTTTCAACAACATGTTGTAGTTTTCAACATACAAACCCTGGGCGTGATTGGTTATACCAGAGTATTTCATTTTGGGGGAACATTGGGAGAAGCCCTGGTGACACAACAGTCAAGTGCTAAGCTGCTAACCTAATGGCTGGGAGTTCAACACCACCCCACTCCCCACCCCCCAGCAACTCCATGGGAGACTTAGCAATTGTGTTTCCAGAAAGACTGCTGCTTAATACAAACTCCTGTGGAATCAACTCAATAACAAAACCAAACTCACTGCCCTCAAGTCGATGCCAGTCAAAGTGACCCTGTCGGACAGAGTAGAACTTCTGTGAATTTCCAAGACTGTAACTGTTTCCTAGAGTTGAAATCCCCATTTTTCTCCAGCAGAGTGGCTGGTGGTTTTGAACTGCTGACCTTGCAGTTAACATAACCATAACCACTATGCCACCAGGGCTCCTATCATCAACTCAATAACACCTTGCAAAAATAACATTGTAAATTGTATTGTTTAATTCTGGTTTCCAAAGGTTTGCTGCCAATATGATTGACGGTTATTTTTCTGACCTTGCATCCTGTTATCATGCTAATACTATTTATGAATTTGAGCAGTTTGGGAGTACAGCCCTTTGGATTTTCTTTATCGATAATATAATTTATGAATATGGGCGGGCAGTTTTATTTCTTCCTTTCAAATATGTATGCCTGTTTATTTTCACCTTATTGCATTAATGAGGTCTTCCAGGAGAATGTTCAATAGTAGTGGTGAAAATAAATATTATTATTCCCAATTTTAAGGGGAAAGTATTTAGGCTTGCATACCAACTATCAAGGTAACTGTAGGTATCCTGTAGACGCCCTTCATCAAGTTGAAGAATTTTCCTTCTGTCCCTAATTTGTTGAGTTTTTCAGTCAATTGCCTTTTCTACATTAATTGATCTGATTGTGTGATATTTCTTCATTGAACTATTAATATGGTGGATTATATTTATTTTTAATATTGAACCAACCTTGCATCCCTGGGGTAAACCTCACTTGACCAGACTGTACATGTTGCTGGATTTCATACCCTACTATTTTGTTAAGGATGGTTGCAGCTATGGGTGTGTAATTTTCTTTCTTGCAAGGTCTCTGACTGGTTTTGGAATCAGGGTAATGCTGACTTCCTAAGATGAGTTATAAATGATTTCTCCCTTTTCCCCTTTATGGTATTTATTTGTTGGAGAAGCCTAGTTATTTATTTTGTAAAATGTCTGCCATTATTGATTCGCCTGATTTTTCTTCATTGAGGTTTCAAATTTATTCCTGTATTCTCAATTCCCTGTAAATTGATAGTTATAATTAGAGGCTTGATTAGATTCAGTGTTTTAATCCAGAAAGACTAGAGAAACAAATCCAGGGAGAATCATATGTGTGTAAGAGAGAACTTTATATAAAAGAGTAATTGTATATTAAGAAAACATCTCAGCACAGTCTAGATCAAGTCCATAAGTCCGATATTAGCCCATATGTCCGATACCAGTAGACTTATGTGGCTGTGCAATAATGCAGAATGCAGGAAGATCACAGGCCATTAGGTGGAAAATCTTGTGGATCCTGTGTCAGTGGAAGCATCTTAGCGCTGGTATGGGTCTTCACGTGGCTCCTCCAGCTCCAAGGCTCTGGCTGGCAACAGCATAGCTCCACATAGCTTGTCAACAGGAATGTCTCACAGGGAGAAAGTGTGCGTGTCTTGCCTCCAGGTAGGAAGACCAGAGTTCCCGGAATCCCAAAAAGAAAGCCATGTCTACACAGAGGCCTCGTTGGCTATGGCCTGATTGACAGGCTACATTCCACCCCTTCACAAGTTGACAGATCATTTATCTGCCACATTCAGGTTCAATAATTTTGCTCTGAAAACTTCATGGCATAAGTTTTCTATTGCAGCAAATCATGAAACCCATAATATCTAGTTGTCTCACTTTTTGTGATGCTAAAATTGATCAGTTGGATTTTGGTAGTTAGTATTTGCCTGTTAATCCCACAAAATTTCCTCTCAGCCACTGCATTCATGGATAATTATTGACGGGGTCTATTTGTCGAAGATGATTTTCTAGGATTTTTACTTCTTTTGGATTTATTAACTCCCCTAAACTGGAGCTTTATCAGCTTTTTGTGTAAGAGCTGGCCCTTCTAGGAATCACAAGTAGACAGAATTGGGAGTGCATGGGATGTTGTGCAAGATAAAGCTGTGAAAGAGAAAGAAGGCAGGGGAAGAACAGCCTTAGCCCTTGATATGGATCTTGCAAATTACCGGGCAACCCAATGGAGAACTGTATGATAAAGACTGCCCATTACAAGAGTCCCACATTGGACAGAAATGGACAACTCTGTTTTCTCTGCCCTGAAAACTCTGTTTCAGGACTGCCTGGGAAGAGGGTGGCCTAAAGTTCACAGGCTGAGGTGAATCCTAATGGCGCTAATGAAGGGGAAATGGAGGGAGCACAGAGAGAAAATGTTCTAAAATTCATGATGGTAATGACTGCACAAGTCTCCTTGACATGAGTGAACTGTTGAATTGTGTGATCTGTGGATTCAGTGCTAACAAAATTGTTTAAAAAAAAAAAAGGCAGTAACAGTTGGACATTGTTAACTACATCCCTTACAACAAAGTTTCAAGGGTTTTTTTTTCTTAAAGGGAGATTTTGGAGTTGTAGTTCATGACTGCAATATCCTGAAAGACAATTTGTAAATAAAAGCAGGATTAATTCTTTATTCTTTCCTTTCATCAATTTTCAGAATAATGAGCAGGTGCCCTAGGAACTTTCAGTGATGACTCATAGGTTGGGTTGGGTTTTTTTTAAAAAAAGGTAGTTCAATTAATTCCCCATATTCTTTTTGATGATAAAGTTGTTTCATCTTTCAGTTCTTATATTTTTGTCTTTTTATTATGAAAAACAGCAAGCAGAAGAGTACTTTGTGTAATCCACCTTGAACAATTATCAGCTTGTGACTATCCTTCCCTTATGAATTATTTAAAACAAATACCAGACAGCATGTCATCGTGAGTCATTTTGACATCACCCATTATTTTTGATAGCTTCTTCAGTTTCGGAAAGAATAACAATTTCCATACTTGTCACTCATAGTTCCTGCCCTCGTTCATTTTAGTAAGATTTTTCTAATGTCTACTATCAGATACATTTATTTGTTTATTTTATACTTTCATAAAATCTCTCTTGAAATCAAAACCATATTTTTTCTTCAAACCTAAACTCATAAAAAAATCATGACATATGTGGGAGCTTCAAAAAGAAGCAGAGAAAATTTTATTATTGTTTAATTCCATTTTTTCTTGAATTTTTGATGCTTCCTCATATTCTATGAGAAATTACATTCCATTTTCACAATAGTACATTATATAGGATGTTCACTGTGACAAGTAGCATAAAACTCATATCAAATTTGACTTAAACAAGAAAAGGATCAGAAACCTTCAAAGTGCAGATGTTGGGGGAGGAGGAGAGACTGGAGCACATTCTGGCCCACCAGGCCTTGAGGACGATGACCCCAAATAGAGCAGCCAGTCCACAGAGAGGACCACATGGCCAGCCCCACTATGAGACGTGATGCCCCTCACTGACCCATGGCCCTGC